AATGATGCAAGAGCTGCAACGCGATCAACGCGATAACACTTACTGGAACCATCGCGACATTTTTAACCTCACTGATGAAATGCGGCACTTGTCATTCCGTGTTGAAGGCATGCATGCTTATGTTTACAACACTGGCGAAGAACCTCCTAGACCCAGAAGAGATGGAGTAAGAACACGAGGAGGAAGCGCACAAGGTGAAGCATCCACCAGCAGAAACGTTAGAGACAACAATGAGGAGTGATCTTTGTTTTCCTTTTTCCTTGAATTTTTATTATTATTTCTTAAGTTTCCTGTTCGTTTTCTTTTCTCACTTTATTTGTTGTATTGAGGACAATGCTCAGTTCGAGTGTAGGGGAGGAAACATATGTTACCTATGTTATGTTTTTCCATTTTCCTAGTAAGTTATTTAAATTTCTGTCATTTCCCTTTCCATTCAATAAATAAAAAATCATTTTCGTAAGTTATTCGTACTTCAACACTTTTCTTGAACCATAAACTTTTTACTCGACGCATTAGCTCGGTACATTCGAAAAGTATATAGGTTGTTCGCAATTAGGTTGCGTTAGATTTTTTGAAAAAGAGTCGACAAAAATAATACCACCTTGACACCTAAATCTTCCAGATCACGCAAATCAGTTTGAGTGGTTATGATACTGAAGCCTTAAGTTTTAGTTTTGGACCAACCCCGAGTAGTTTATACTAGCAGTCAGCACCGTCTTATCCATAAACTACGTAAGGAGCCGATGAATATAAGTGACTGGTCCTAAAAAGTAAAGAAGAAAAAATTCTAAGCATCAAAATATAATAGGGAATGCGCTAATTAAGTTAGGTGACCCTCACCAGGTCATTTAATCCAACAGTCGGGGTACCTACAAAAACTGATGTAACAACCAGTTGTAAGCTTGTTCAGTGGTATCTGGTGCTGAACTTGGTAGGGCGAACTACAGTTCGATCCCCCGAGACTTATAATCTGGGAAAGAAAATGGGTTTCCAACTTGTGTACCAGAAACCTGTGCAAAGGAGACCGGAATCGCTAACTGGCTACTCTACTATGTGTGTGCGAAAGATAAAGGGCTTAATGTGATTGCGCTAGAATGAAAGCGGTTGATTTCGAACAAAAAGAATTAGGTTGAGCTATGATAGCATAATTCGGACTAATTTTCAATAGGATGGAGGATTTTGACCATGTGGTTTTGTGTCATTTCTGTATCATTAGTGTCGGAGCCTAGTTCCATCTTTCTAATGTAACGCCCCTCAACCACGTATGATTCGAGTCGTGTAATGTGATTGTGTCGGATACCATGCATTAAACGATTTTTACTCTATTTGTTTGAGGACAAGCAAAGGTTCAAGTGTAGGGGAGTTTGATAACCCAGAAATGTATCGAATATTTGGATCATTTTACATGAAGTTTATCCGCATTTTAATTAATTAAATTACTCTTTATTCGTATTATGCTGGTATTTTCTATGTTTTCAGGAATTTAATGTTTGCAAGGCATGTGCGAAGAAAGTCAAGAAAAGTCAAGAAAAGTCAAGCTAATCAAGAGCAATTATGCATTGAGGGGTGTGTGGTAGAATACGGTGCACTAAAAGCAAAAAGCCTAAGAAAGAAGCGCTGACCCAATCCACTAAGGGAGTGTAACGACCGTTACACATTGGCCCAAAGGAGTGTAACGACCGTTACACCCTACCACGCAAGTCTCTCCTAAAAAGCATGAGTGTAACGACTGTTACACCCTACCACGCCAGCCCTCCCTCAAAAGAAGGAGTGTAACGATCATTACACTAAGTCAATTCTGGAGGAGAAAATATCTCAACTCCCGCGCATCCCCAAGGCTATAAATAGTACCTCAAACCTCTACTTTAGAAATGTTTTCTTTTCCTTGTTTTTATTGTTACTCTTCCAAAAATATTCTCCGCATTATTTTCTTTACCGATCTGTGGGAGACATCCGATATCCGACAAATATTCTGCTGTAATATTTTCAGGTTTAATTTAAGTACTTTATTTATTTATGCCAAGATTGTCTGTAATGTTTTTTTTTATTTAAATTGTTTGATGATAATTATTTATGCTGCGTTGTTATTGAGTCGTTTAATATGATAGGCTAAATTTATTTATCGATATGTAAGGTCATATAACCAACGGGGTTTTAGCAACGCCAATTGATCAGTTATTTTTTTTAAAGAATAATTTTTCTGGTTTCAATTACTAGTTCTAAATATTAACTGTTTTGTTACGAGAGTAAAATACAGATAGAGGTAAGGATCAATAAAACGAGAATTTGAGATGATAATTGGACAGTAGTAATTGTGCATCAACTTAAAATACAGCGAGAGCACTTTTAAGTTGATTAGGTTTTGTTTGTTTCCAAAAATTATTTTTAAACCCTAATTGAAACAGCGAGAGCACTCACTTAGGTTTGATCGTAGGATCTGAATCAATAAACACGAGAGTGTGAGAAGAGGGTTTTCAAACAAATTCTTCCTACCGGAAACTGTTTTGTTAATCCGAGATAGGTCAATGAGTTGCTAAATCCCCGAAGTCCGACCATTACACAACGATATTCTCCCTTAATCTAAACTAGATTATAATCAGTTAGGTTCCCTAAACCCCCTATTAATTACATTATTAGCCTTAGATTTACGTAGTAACCTAAGATAATGGTAGATCGACATTAGTCCCTTGGGATTCGATAATCTTTAAAGCTACACGCGATAAGACTATATACTCGTGGTCTAGATTCTTTAAGACTCACAAAGTCGCGATCAGTTTTAAACAATGTAACAACCATTGAAATCTACAAAATGGAAAATATAAATTTAGTAGTAAACCTGTCAAATTTGGACGCCCACCATCACCAATCTGGAATTAATCTAGATTCAAATACTCTAAATTTGTTAAACCTGTTAAAGAGAAGCCAATTAAAGATCTATTGGACAATTTGAAAATTAAACAATCAACATGTTCCAGTCATGATGATAATCAATGTGGTAGAAATTGCATATTTAACAAATTGAGAGTAAACACACCAGTGATCCATACACTAACTTGTTCTGGATTCAGAACCTTCAACAAAGTTCTGGAAAAAACCACCGCAAGATTTCAAAATTCTTAACTCGATCAAATTGTGCCCAACAAATCATCAACTACTTAAGATTTAGAAATATTAAAACACTACACCAAGACATCAACATAATTAAACTTAAAACATAACAAAATACTTGCTCAAATTGCGTCTAACAAAATATAGAACTTTATTATGCAGAGCATCCAAGCTTCTAATTGGTTATTGCTTGCAAGATATACTCTTTATGGATAGACTGTGTCCTTTGTTCATTAATGAATTGCTCGATTATGTAAAGGTTGAGCCCATTTGTCAAATCAGAACTTGTTGTCAATAAAGCTTTTAGTATACTTAAACCCTGCAACATCAAATCAAAAACTGTTAGATTTTCTAAACCTGATGCAAGTAATATACTAAAATTTCAAGCACAATTATACCTCCTTCTTGCCGAGAGAAAAAGAGTTATTGTTGAAGAGAAAAAGGAGTGGGAGCGGTTAAACTGAATCTGGTTTTGATAAATAAATAGATCTATGGAACTCCAACTGCCACTTCCTCTTCTTCAATTCCTATCAAACAAAAACTCCAATTCGATTATAACGTAACCCTAAAAACAAAATTTGAAACCACAAAAGTAGAAGAAAAAAAATGAAAAACCTTAGGACAACAAATGAATTTGACATGGCCGCGACGATGCTTGTTGCGACCATCATTCCTACGATTGAACATCTGAAATGAAGAAATTAACATGTTAGGATGATAATATCATATGTGAAATCGTTGTTGAGATTGCGACTGAATCTAGCAATTGTTGGCGAAACTTGGAGTTGTTCGGCCGTAATATCTCTGGAGCCATATTAATATGGTTTAGGTGATTTGTAAATGAGTGAAACTTGAGAAAGGAAGATGTTGCAATGTAAACCATGAGTTTTGTGTTCTAAGAATAAAATAATTCGGCTGATTTGTTAATTTCGACTGCATATAAATTATATGTATGATTCGTTCAAGTAATTCAAATAATTAGTGAAATTAAAAAAATAAAAATTACAACAAAAATTCTAGACATGTCACATCAATAGTATTGAATACCAAATTAATGAAATATATGTGGTGAGATTCTATTAAATAATATAAAATTATTATTTTATGATATTAATTTTTCTATTATTCAATATAATTTTACTATTATATAATATAGTGTACAAATAATATATTATAAAAACTTTATTATATTATTTAAAAATATAAATTAATAGAGAGATATGTTATATAACTTATTTTGGTCTCTTAATTATACCTTTAGATTTAGATTGATTTCTTGATTTTTTTTAGTCACTTTAGTCTTTTAACTTTTAAAATAATTTATTTTAATTTTTTTATCTGATCAGCGACTAAAAAACTTAAAAATTCGTCGCTAAATTCGTCACTAATATAATAAAAAAAAGATTAAAATGAAATTTTTAAAAATTAAAAAACTAAAGTAAAACGAAAAAAATTAAAGGATACCTAAAAGTATAAGTTAAAGGACGGAAAGAAATATTTTATCTATAATAAAGTAAATTCTTAGGTAGCATGGTCTTTTATATAAAAAAAGGTAACATATTATTAATATTCTTTGATGTCGGTAACATATCAACCAAAATATTTTTGACAAGAGAAAAGTTATTCTGAGTCATCACAATGTGAGTTGGATCCTCCATCAATTTAGAAAAAGACAAGTAGAGTTTCTCTATAATCATGACGTGCACATTAATCAAACAACACCCGATCACAGAACACCGCAACAACACTCACTAGGTATTATCATTCACACCACCAACCACTTTGTTCTTGTGGTTGAAAAACGCAAGGTATCATTCTTACTTTGGTTTTTTGAGTTTGTGGTTAAACTGTTTGATCAAATGCCTAACTGAGGTTTTCATTTCAAAAAACAGATGGAGTTGACTTTAACCGAACAAGATGCCGCTCATTGGGTTTACAGAGGTGAAGGTGCTGCTAATATTGTTGTCTCATACACTGGTTCTTCTCCTTCTTACGTATGTTTATTCTTGTAACTCAATTTTGCTTAATTTAATGTTTATATTAAGTTTAAGGCGAATTTGTATTGTGTTTAGAATTTATTTGAGTTTTTCTTATGACATTAAGCCCTTGTGTCTGTGTTTCCTATTTGGATTGGAAAATTCATTTGTGATACTTTCAGCTTATTTCAATAGAATTTGCATAATAGCTTATTTCAATAGAATTTGCATAATAGCTTATTGGATAAGTGTTTTCCTAGAATAGTTTATTGAGTGGGCACTTAGGGCTTCTTCGGATTGACTTAGTGCATGTTTGGATTGGCTACAAGATTCACAAAATCATGATCAATGATCGTGATTTTGATTAAAAAAATTACACTTTGGAGCTTCACAAAACCATGGTGCCACTTGGATTTTGCTGAAGTCACCGCTAATCCAAACTATCACCTATTTAAGTTTATCTACTTGTATAAGCATTTTCCGGGTTTATCTAGTCGGGTTTTGACATGTTCATAAGTTTTTTTCAGCTTATTTTCTCATGCTCTTCATGGTGGCTTATGAAAAAAGCATATAGGTTATATGAAAACAATTTGACTTTCTTTTATCTCGTGTTATAGAAATAGATTATATGATAAGGTTCTATGCTCTAAGCACTTAACTAAGCCTTTTTATCCAAATAATTAAATTGTTTTTCCAAATGTATCTTACTTAGATTGGGAAAGTGATGCGCATTCGCAAGTCTCCAAGGAAGGCATCAGCATTACCGGGAGTGAGGAATACCATAGCTCTGTCTCCGCATGAACGCCTCATATGGAAAGAAGTACATGAACTTATTTCCTCTTCAGATAAGGAAATTGCTGGTCAACTATATGTCGATCATGTAATGAAGCCTTTGCTTGGATCCAAATATGTTGATGCTGGGGTATGTAGTCACTATTGCACTGTTCCTGCCACATCTTTTTCCTGTGGTAGATTGATGGCTCTACCCATTAATGGAATAGTTATTGTTTTTATCGCATATTCCAATTTCCAACCATCTTTATCATCACCATTTTTTTATTAATAAAAATGGCTTTTGTGAATTGCCATATTTTCACGAATAAAAAGCAGTTAAGATTTTGCATGAGGAAGTTTTGTATTATGATCTCTGACCTGCATCTATTTTGGTACTTTCTAGTCTCACATTCTAGTGACCAAAGAATTCCTAATGACTGTTGAGAAGAATGTTGATAGTCAGCGTCCTGCTTCACGAGTTGATGTTTCCCAGGTTGATAAGCAATGTGATTTTGCTCTTCTCATGTCGGATCATTCCATCTTTCCTCAAGGTATTTAGACACTTGCTTTACTACTTACCATTTCTCTGTTTTTCATTTTTATTAAAGATCTAAATATTAGCACTGTATTGTGTACCACTATCATACTATACATACCTAGGTCAGAAATCATCAATAGTATCTGTAAATGTGTGAGAAATTAGTATTTAAACTTTTGAAATTACCTACACAGCTTGAATCACGATGCATCTGATAGCAACCACATAGTGTGAATGAAGCACACGAGTGTTTAGTAGGCCGAAACATACCTCACAGCCCAAGAGTGTGGAAGGTGTATTCTAACTAAGAGCTGAAAAAGTGTCATGGAAAGATCCTAAGAGGAGCAAGATGGCAGTAAGAGAGAGAAAAGATCGTAACTAATTCTGTTAGTCTGTGTGGAAGAAATAAACAGAAGGGGAGAGTGGATCTGTGGGGCATTCAGAGAATTGATCATCTAGAGCTATGAATGGAGAGCAATAGCCCTTCATAGGAGCCCAGCTCTGTGGAAGTTAGGATTTTATCCTTCTGTAAATCCCTACCTATACATGAATAAAACAGTCTTATTCAGTTATCTCTATTTTGCTTACTATTTCTGCTTGTTGATTTACCGGGGTTTATCAGCCTCCCATTGGTTGGAATATGAGCATGCATTACTGGTGGGTGTAAATGTACAATGTTATAAAAGTGTAATGTAGGAAGGCAAAATTACTTGGGTGAAATTTAATTTGACGTGATATTAATATTAATTGAAGCTCTGCATAATATTTCATTCCGAATGCTGTCTTTTGTAGTATTTACCTAATAAGCATTAGTGTTTTTAAAAGTTATGTAATAAGCTTCTTGTTTTATTTCAGGTAGTCAAGAATCTAGCCACAGTATATCAGTTGAAATAAAGGTAAAGTCTCTTCTCTTCCATTATGTTATTGTCCTTTGGTTTGTTTTTCTCTCATCTAAATATAGCATTAGTTTAAAATGAATATCTCAATTTTGTCCAATCATATTATTGTCCTTTGGCTTGATTGTAACATTTTAAAATTTCTGTTCCTCACAAAGTAGCCTAAATGCGGATTTCTTCCTCTTTCAACATTCATATCTGAAGGAACTGCTATCAAAAAGAAGATAACTCGATTCGAAATGCATCAAGCTCTGAAATTGCAAAGTGGAGAGGTACATCTACATCCTACAAAATTTAACTTTGGATGGTGGTTCTATAGCTTCTAGCTAGCATTTAATCATCTCTCTTTTGATTGATGTATTAAGAGACAATATCCGTTATTTTTCTAGAACTAAACCTGTTAGAAAATTTTCAATATGTATGCAGATTTCACAGCGGAGTGTGTACAACCCACTTGATTTGTTCTCTGAATCAAAGGAAAGAGTTTATAAAGCTATTAAAAATCTCTTTACTACCCCTCAAAACAATTTCCGCGTATTTTTGAATGGTTCTCTCACACTCGGAGGACTAGGAGGTGGTGCTGAAAGTACAGATGCATGTATGGCCAAAGTACTTGAAGATAAACTTCACTCGGTCATTCAAGCTGACAATGGCCAAAGTACAGAGAACTTATTTACTCTTGTTACTGAAGCTGTGCATAAATCAGGAGTCCTTAATCAGCTCTTGGAGGTTCAGAAGCTTGACCATTTTGATGTAGAAGGAGCTATCCATGCATATTATAACATTACTTTTCAACAGTGCAAGGTGTGTAAAGAATTGAGTAAAGAACAGGCAAAAATATATACCTCTTTGCATTCTGCTTCGTTGGACGAAAGCTTGAGAATCGTAAAGGACTACCTGATAGCAGCTACTGCAAAAGACTGCAGTTTGATGGTATGTTTTAGACCAAGGAAAGAGAATGATTCTGGATCTTCCTACAATACTATATATCTTGAGTCAACTAAACAAGCCTTTGATTATAAGGTATGAACAACTTCATATCTATTATTATTGGTTTAAATTTTAAGATATTGTACTTGCTTGTGAGATTAGAGGTCTTATTTGGCTGCAATTTGACTTGTATTAGGTGCATTTTATCGACCTTGATTTAAAGCGTTTGAATAAAGTGGAAGACTACTATGAGTTAGATAAGAAGATAGTGAGCTGCTACAAACAGATGAACAAAATAGATGATGGAAGAAATGAAGATGCAAAGTTGCACGGACCGGAAGTTACAAACTTGCAGGGATCTGAAGTTGCAAACTTGCAGGGACCTGAAGTTGCAAACTTGCAGGGACCTAAAGTTGCAAATTTGCAGGGACCTAAAGTTGCAAATTTGCAGGGACCTGAAGTTGCATACTGAGATTTTCATAGATTTTTTCCTTACAAAATGCTGTGATGACAGTCAAAAAGTGAAGATGCAACTGGTATAAGTATGTTTCTTTGTACCCTCCTCTCCTCGCCGTGGGACTGTCAGAATCCCTCTTTTACATAACTACTGTGCTTGTACTTGTATTAACTTTTTCTGTTTCTGTTAATTATTTGCTTTTGGAATGCATGGCTGTTTTAATTTTTATTATTACTATTGGATTTACTCAATAAATGACTCCTAAATTTTAGAAACAAGTACATTGTTATCCCCACGTTCCTATTATTATAGTACTGTGATAGTGTTAAATTAGGGAGGATATATAGGCCAGATCAATTGCTCGTTTGGAATGAGAAATTGGAATAGAAGATAATAGGTTAAGTTGGGAGCACAGTATTGCATTCTCACTAGCTTTTCATAAATGTGCTACATTGCATGCTGCATCAATGAAACAGATAAGTAACAAGCATAATAATATATATCAATCTCCAAATACATTCACAAGATAATCCACAAAACACGTGTTTCAGTGCAAACACATAAACTTGCTGTAATGTTTAAGGTGTAGTTTCTAAAGCATGTGATAAAGCATTATGACGTGTGTGCACCATTTCCAGAACCTTCACTTGGAGGAAATAAGTATTTTGTGTCGTTTGTAGATGAGTTCACAAGAATGACGTGAGTAACACTCATCAAGTTTAAGCATGAGGTGTTTACTGAGTTCCAGAAGTTCAAGGTGAAGGCTGGGAAACAAAGTGATTAGAAGTTGAAAATTCTCAGAACGGATGGTGGAGGTGAGTATAACTCTACAGAATTCCATAAGTTATGTGAGGAGAATGGAATTGAGCATGAGGTTATTGCTCCTTATACTCCTCAACATAATGGTCTTGCTGAAAGAAGAAATCGTACTTTGTTTGATATGACGAGAAACATGCTCAAGGAGAAAAAGCTTCTTCACACCTTGTGGGGAGAAGTTGTTGTCACTACAACATATGTGCTCAACAAATGTCCAACAAAGAAGTTGAAGGAAATTATTTCTTTGGAGAAATGGACTGGTGATAAGCAAAGTGTGAGTCATCTCAAAGTTTTTGGTTCTGCTTACTATAAACATGTTCCAAAGGCTAAGAGGAATAAGCTAGATGATAGAAGCAAAGTGATGTTACTGGTGTGGTACCACAGTACAGGTTCGTGCAAGCTTTATTGTCTAGAATCTGGTGGTGATCATATTTCTGGAAGAGAAGACTCTGAAGACGTAGGTTTTGAGGAGAAGCTTCTGGAGGTGATCATGTTTCTGAATATGGTACTTCTGAAGGTGGTGGTTCTGGACGAGGTCTAGAAGCTAACGTTGTTCCAGGTTCTGAAGAAGATTCAGAACGAGTTCAGGGATCACAAAGAATCAGACAAACACTAAGAAGATTTGCAGAGTTTAACATATTGTGAGACACCGAAATGGACTCTGACGGAGAAGTCATTCTGGGTGTCATGTTAGTAGGTTCGGAACCATTGGATATTGAAGAAGCTCTCGAGAAGAAAGTATGGATGATTGCCATGAAAGACGAACTTGAGGCTATAGAAAGAAACAAGACTTGGAAGTTGACTAAGCTTCCAAACAAGAAGAAAGCCATCAGCGTCAGATGAGTTTTCAAGGTAAAATTTAAGCCAGATGGATCAATTAGCAAGTACAAAGCAACGCTAGTGGTTAGAGGTTTTCTTCATAAACATGTGCTAGATTACTTTGAGTTGTTTGCACATGTAGTTAGACATGAAACAATTAGGTTGGTGATTGGTTTAGTTGCGAATAGGAATTGACCTCTGATGCATCTAGATGTGAAGTCATCATTTTTGAACAGTTCGTTACATGATGAGGTATACGTGCCACAAGGATTTGTGAAAAGGAATTAGGAAGGAATGGTGTACAAGTTGTATAAATCCTTATATGGATTGAAGCAAGCGTCCAGAACTTAGAACTTGAAGATTGATTCATTTTTCAAGAAGCATGGGTGATCGGAAAAATAGCAAGTGTATTATTTTCACCGATGTAGTAATAATGAGTTTTATCCCGAATATCGATCTCGAGAACTGCGTAGGAAATACTATGTTTTATTATTAATTCAATCAAACAAAAATAATAGTTTAGGGTTTGATTCAAAAATATCTTTGCGAAAGATTAAAGGGCTGAAAGTAAAAGTTGACTTTTTCTGTTTGGTTAAAAGTTGTTAGGGTTGAGTGTATGATTTGCCATGAAATAACCTTCACTCTTTGATCTTTTCAACAAGTTCATCAATCTCAATTACCGATTTTTAAGATTATCTTTCCCTAAGTCCTTAGTGAGAAACCTTTAACTTCTACCCTAATTTCAATTTCCATTCAAATTAGTGTTGAGGTTAAGCATGTAATTATCAAGAACTATTCTGGTTATCATAGGATTTCCCTAGTCCTAGGTGAAATCATCTATAACATCATTATTTAGAAAATCTTAATATGATCGTTCGACTCTAATGTGTAAATAACAGTGAAATCCTATGGTCCCATAGGGTAAAATTATAAATTCTTCTAAACAATCAAATTGATGCATAAAACTGTTATGATGAATAAAACAAAGAGATCAGTATTCTTAACATAGAAAATCAGGGACACCCCCTAGCATTTGGGGGTTTAGCCGCACATAATATTCAAAGAAATTTCAATAACAATAAAGATAGACATTACACAAATTAATGGTGAACTCTAATCTTCAATTGCTTCCGCTCATGAAAAGTCTTCGTTCTCCCAAAACTTGCATAGACTTCAATCTTCTTTCGTCAAATTCTTCTCCCGTTCAAAAGTCCCCATTTTACTTCTACAAAATAGGTTTAAGTAGTCTCGTTTTTCCTAGGTGACGCCAAAAGTCCAAAGTAGGCTCCAGGGTTCAAAAGCACTAAAAATTCCTAAACTTAAGAACTTCCAGCGCCTGAGTTGACACGGGCCGTGTCAGCGGATACGGGCATCCGTGTCAGCGGATACGGGTATCCTTGTCAGCTTCTGTGAATCTTTCTCAAATCGTACGCTTCAGCTAACTTGACACAGACCGTGTCGTGTGACACGGGCGCTCGTGTCGCCTTTTATGATCTTTCTCTTTTCCAACAATTAGCCCAGCTAAAATGTCACGGGCCGTGTCATGTGACACAGACACCCGTGTCAGCTTCTGTCCTGCTTCCATCTTCATTGTTCCAGTCTTCCCCCTGACACGGTCCGTGTCAGGTGACACGACCATCTGTGTTAAGACTCCTGAAGCACTTCTTTCTGAACTTCTGAATTCAACACTTTTCTGCCCCCGATTTGTCTTGTTTCATTATTTTATTCCTGAAAATACTAAAATACCAAACCAAAGCATAAAATGTGATAAAATGGAATAAAATACCAGTTAATTAAAAGAAACGATGACTAAAATAAATGCAAAATTCATGTGTAAAAACCACTGGTTAAACTCCTCCAAACTTAAATCGTTGCTTGACCTCAAGCAACCATTACAAGAACTCATGAAAATTACAGTAGCCCGATACTCATACGTGAGACATCCGTTCAAATTGATCAAAAAGTAGTCCGTCCGATGTTCACATGACGCGAAGAGTTTGCTTAAGAATCTTTAAATTTAGAGTTTCTTCTTCAGATACCTCTCTAACTATGCTTTGTACTTAAGTCTCTTTCCGAAGGCAATGATAATTATTGATGATCATCACACGCACAAGACTGATTAAGAGATATTTTTGCTCAGGCACCAAATAAGAGCTTTTTCTCCTTTATAAATTCAGATGAAATTTTAAAAACTTTTTAATTTATATATTGTCCTTTATGGACGACGTTTAGGGATCAATCCCCTTTGGACTGAATAACCTGGTGAAGGCTACCCAACTTAGCGAGCCAGTTTCCTTTTACCGTCTTTTCATCATTTGATTCCAAATTTATTTCTTTGTTCTTCAATTGTACATGCATGTGAATCTATGTAATGCCAGACTGTGAGGATAAACTAATTTAGGAGTATTTCTCAAGATTTGAGCACTATGGTACAAATCTACACGTTAGACTAGTATCTTTGTCACGTTATTTAGAACTTCCTACCCTCGAATAACCATCCCTTTGTCTCTATATACTATTCTCGAACTCTATGAGACTCAAGTTCTTGATCAAAACAAAAATTTTAAAAAAAAAATTTCGGCCAACTTTGGAGGACTTGAACTCATGAATTTACATAGCAATTTGCATAGAACTCACAAATAATGCAAACAGAAGAAAAGCTATAAACCCCTCCCCCAAAAAAAAACTTGAACTAAACATTGGCCTCAATGTTTTAGAACAAGCTCGAGGAAGGTGACTCACAGAGGGAATTGTAACACTAATTGCTGCCTCGTAGCTCTCACCAGTAAGGCTCCCTTTTTTATTACCTGCACAAAAATTCAAAAACTAAGTTATTAAAAGCGTGGGTTGGCTCCCACGAAGCGCTCCGTTTAACGTCGTATGGCTCGACGGTTCATCCCCTTATGGGGGTACTTTCTCTTCCACACCTTGTTACTTATTTCTTCCACAAACCAGAACTCATTTAGATCAAACGTGTCAACCCATTTGTGCTTCCATCCACTTCTAACTTCCATCTTTTCATCTCGGTGTTCCTTCTTCTTTTTCTCCTTTCCTTGTTGACTGAGCTTATGAATTTTTATTGATGCCACTTGAGAGATTTTTTCTGAGACTTCTGGTTGTGATTTTGAGTTGTTGCCTTCTCCTTCTACTTTGATCATTCCGACCAAAGATTTATCCTTTTCACCTGCACCTTTCTTCCTGATTCTCAACACCTTCAAGGTTATCTCCTCATCAAATGATTTCAGTGTCAGATTACCTGTCTCGATATCAAAATCGTATTGACTAGTCAACATAAATGGTCGACCAAGAATGATAGGAGTCTCTTCATCTTTCGGTATGTCCATGATCTGAAAATCAACTGAGAAAACAAATATGTCAAT